TTAATAATAAAATAATAATAATAATTTATTTCTTATAGAGCGCTATTTACTATGACAGATTAATAGCGCTTTACAATTAGTGTCTCTAAATATTAAAATCTCAACTAATTCAAAAAAAATAATTACATATTACAGTTAACTTGGCTATATAAAATTCATAACTTAACCACTACTGAAGAATTGCCTGAAAAGAAAAGTCTTAATTGAATTCTTAAAAATTTCTACAGATCCAATATTGCGTAATTGGCAATGGTAGCTCATTCCATAGATGCGGTGCAGCCGCCTGAAATACACGTTCACCCAGGGTTGCCAGCATTTTACCTCTTGGTGGCTCTAATAAAATACCTGAGTTAGATCTAAGATTGTACGAGGACTTACGTTTGATAACCAAAAGATTGCTAATATATGCGGGTGCGAGGCCGTGAATGGCTTTAAAACTAATAATAGAATCTTAAAATGTATACGCGCTGGCATAGGTAACCAGTGTAACTCGTAGAGTGCTGGAGTAATGTGAGAATATTTCCCGATATCCATAATTAATCTAGCGGAAGCATTTTGCACGCGTTGTAACTTAGCTATTTGCTCTTTGGGAAGGCCGTAAAATAAAGGGTGAGTAAGCTGTCTCTCGATAAATACTTCTTAATGCGTCTAATATTATGCAAGTAGAAGAAACCCGCCTTACATACATTAGTGATATGGTGGCGCATATTCAGGTTTGGATCAAGCCAGCTTCCAAGGTTCTTAACTTGGTAGCTAGGTTTTCTCTCTGAACCACCTACTTTAATATTCATAGCCTGCAATTTATTAAGCTGCTGGCGAGTTCCAATAATAATAAACTCAGTCTTATCGTCATTAAGAAGGAGTCTGTCATGGATCAGCCAGCGCCTGATCTTCTCAATACAAACATTCCATCGCACGGACTGCATCTTCCTGGGATGTGTTACTAATAGGTTTGAAACTCAGATAAATCTGTGTCGTCGGCAAAGCAATGCATGTGTGGGAGATGATCCTCAACTACCCTGGATAGCTTGGATACATAAATGAGAAAGAGCAGGGGCCCAGACATGACCCTTGTGGAACACCACTCTCAGACCAAAGCGCTCTGAAAGAGATTCGTTAGTGGAGACTCGCTGACCTCTTTTCGCCAGATACGACCTGAACCATTCCAAGGCCAATCCGCATATCCCAAGCTCCTCATTCAGACGAGTAAGGAGGATGTTATGATTAAACGTATCGAAAGCGGTGCTAAGATCGAGCATGACCAGCAAGATGACTTCTTGAGTGTTCATTTTCATGAGAATATCGTTCGTGACTCCAACAAGAGCCGTTTCCGTGCTATGATTTTTACGATATGCAGACTGAAACTCAGGATATAATGAATGAGTCATCATATGGGTGTGTATTTGCTCAAACACCATCCTTTCAGTCAGCTTTGAAACATACTGCAGGTTGCTGACAGGTCTGTAGTTTTTGTATAGAAGGTCTAGCCCAGACTTCTTCAGCAGTGGGAGGAAAAGCGCACACTTCCAGTCATTAGCGAATAGTCCAGACTCAAGTGATAAATTGATCAGGCATTTTCGTTATGATCGGTAGAAGCACGTCAATGCAATCTATTACTAGGGATGTTGGCATAGGGTCAGAGTGCAGCTTTTATTTGTACTGCTGTTGATGAGCTTGCGAACCTTCTCTTCCGTAATGGGGCTAAATCTGCTAAGGGGGGTAGGTGATACTGGGGCGTAGTCATCGAGGAGTGCTGGTAGCCCTTGCGCCATGTTATCGAGATTGGAGCCAATGGTCTCAATTTTCTGAATAAAGAAAGTTCCCAGTTGATTTGCCAAGTTACTGTTATCGTCCACGGGTGGATACACCGCCCTGTTATCCCCCTGATTGAGTAGCTTCTTCGCTGCTAAAAATAGGTGTCGCTGACTGTTGCTATTATCCTGGATGAAGTTATGATAGAATTTGCGTCGAGCTTCATTCATCAAAGCATTCGCATTGTTCTTTTTTACTTTGTACGCCAGCATATCCTCCCCAAAGCCGGTTCATCGCCACTTCTTCTCAGCCTTCCGTTTCTCCCGCCTTGCCATGGCCTAGAGCGCATCACTTTTGTAATAAATGGTGCATGCCGTTCGAGAGCATGAGCTAAGGTCGTGTTATAGCTGTTAACGAGTTCGTCAAGTGTATACGAAGTGTTTTGGCAGAGCTCGGAGGACAATATATCAACCTGTAGCTTTTCTCTGTCGATGTCCTTGATTTTTCTGTCGGACACCTGTTTTACTTTCGGGGGTGGTTTTCCCAACTCAAGATCGCATAGAACAGTAATATGATCAGAGAACAAATAATCATTCATAAGCTTAGCAGAGAGCAAAGAGTCCGAGCATCGAGTGCTAATCAGATCCAGCGTATGTCCAGAAATATATGTAGGCTTGTCAACGTGCTGCTCGAGGCCCATCGAGGTCAGCAATTCCAGGGCACGAGCGGCGTCCGAATCATTGGGAACATTCACATGAATATTAAAATCGCCAGTGATCAGCAATGGCTCAGGGGACAGAACCACAGATTCCAAATAGGCCGGGAACTCGTCCAGAAACACGCTTGTGGAGACAGGATGAGCGGCAGAGCAGGTAAATTACAATCAACCTTAATGTACTAGACCCATGTTTCAGAATCCATTTACCAAATTCGAACGACCTGTGTTCACCACTGTCCACTTTTCGCACATCGATTGCTTCATTCAATAACAATGCAATCCTTCCGCCTGTCCTACCAACTCTCTGATGTTCAAACAATTTGTACCCAGGTAGCGTAATCTCCGTTTTATGGGCCATATCCCTCTCAGACAACCATGATTCGGTGATAGAGAAAATATCAGCACCAGCTGAAGATGCGATCGGCCGATTTGTTTTTAATAGATCTAGCGTTTAGGCAGCAAAGCCGTAAATGCCTCCTGGCACATCGGTATTGTTCTTTGACAGTAGAGATGCTAACAAGGCTGCGAGCAGTCGGTCTCTTGAAGGGTCTTGAATAATTAAAGCGGTTCGAAGTTATGACAGGAATATTTAATAAGTTTAAGAAGTTCCCCGCTTCGCCATTAACAGATCTTGTTTCTGGACGAGGATTTTCGCAAATATCGCCAGCTAGCAGTAGGAGATACGAGGCTACCAGCGTCGCGTTGAGTAAGCATAGTCCAGACTCAACTTTGAGCACTGGTGAAACGACTTCCACACTACAATACCGTTGCGTTGGATTCCTCGTAATAAACCTTGAGTAACGTTGAGTTGATTTTCTCACAGTAAACCTTGAATAACACTCCCTGTCCAGACTCAGCACTTTACATAGCGACCAATAACTGTTAAGTAGATCTACAGATGACTTAAAAGTATCCAAAGTTTAAATAAGTATTAGAACGAGCGCTAGCAGCGCGGAGCATCTTAAGACACCCGGTGACAACTGCATTGAAAGGATGAAAGAAGATCTATGGCCAAAGTTTATTGGGGAACCGGCCAAACCGAAATGAACAGATACGTACTAAATTGGATTTTTAACCAGCTCACAGGTTCGCCTTTATGAACGTCACCACCATTGGACCGGATAATGTTGTGAAAGCGGGCAGCGAATGTGGTTTAGCTTGTGTTAACTCACTATCCTGTTCCTCCTTTAACCTGGCTGTATTTCATGGCAAGAATGGCAAACTGCTATGTCAATTACATCGAACTGACATTTACAACAACTCGGACAAGTTTGCCACCAGTGAGCAATTTCATCACTATAGCATCTTGGTAAGAGCAAACCACTCTTGACAATTTTATCAAAAATAGCAATTTAAGGGTTGAATGACAACTCACGGGCTTTGGCAACGCTCTCGAATCTAGATTACCAAAACAGGCCATTCATGGACATTTTCGAAATATGAAAACGTAGAAAAATGGATGGGGGGCACCTTCCACCTTGCATCAGGGTGGGGGTGTCAATAAGTGTATAGGTCTAACGCTCATGAAGTCTGTTTCACATGCATTCAGTGTTATCAGCATCAATAATTAGAAACCTTTGGCTTACAGGAAGTACATTACAATTCTGTTAATAAACCATACAGAAAATGTTTAGCTCATTCGGTTCTTGAGCTGAGAAAATTCTGAATGAGAAACACAATTCGGTACAGAAAAGGGGGCTAAGGTCGATGGCGTATGTACGTGACGAATCTCATTTTCCTTTTTTTTCCCTTTAGTTTCCCTGCATCAGTTGGCCTTGTCAGAGCAATGGCACATGCGCTGCACAATACAAAGACGATAGCTACATCTGCATTTGCAAACGAGGATACACAGGGAAACACTGCCAAATTCTCGGTATGAAAACCTCATCGATGGGGACCACTTTGTAGGATGTAATGGGGGAAAGATGTCTTTAAAACCAGGAATACCCAAAAAGTCACCTCATGTACTTATAAAACTGGGCTAAAAAAAAACTTTTCTTTGAAACTGCGATTCCATGATTGGCATCGGTCATAATTAGGAGTAATAACATTAGGATCATGTAAGAAAAATATTTATCATATAAACTACGGTATTATACATGGATTCCTAGCCCTGAGAGAAGCCGTAACAGCACACAACGATATGATATTTTTTTCACACGTGTTTGATACCGCCAATCAGCTGCTGACACGCCACTCGCCTTTCGCGCCACTCGGTCAGGTTGATGAATGAACGGCAAAACCTTCACGATCCTCAGTACAAGGTAGTTTGTCGGAACTCTCTCGGATTACGACGACTAAAACATTAAAGTTGAATGTCTTTTGAATATAGGTTTTCCTTTAAAGAAATGCTTGTTCACTTCAACCAAATATCGCTAAATACATACCTAAAAGGTACTTATTCTTTGAATTGGTTACAATGGTTCCTTTGAGACTTTTTCGTTTCTATTATCTTAATATTTTCAGGCTTTTATCTTACTTATGTCTAACATTGGGGTTCCTGGGTGGAAATATCAACAGCAGATCTGACACGAACACGATTCGAACCAAACGAGAACTGAGTGACTTCTTGTCTAATGTTGGCCAAGGCGTTTAGATCCGGTCTGAATAGTAGGATGTACATTTTGGGCAAAAATATGCAACCAAGGAAACCATACGCACTCAACAGAGTTGTGACACAGTCCACAACCGTTACATACCATCCATCGATAGACTACTCCACTGGGTGAAAACAAAGCAAGGACAACAGAAATATGTACAGCGAAAAAAGCTGTCCGCTTTGCCTCACTAAAATGTTCAAGAATTTTCCGTACATTAAAGGCGAAAAATCCAGATAGTAGCAACTGGCAGAAAACATAAAAACATATTACCGAAAACAGGCTTTTTCCAGTTAAACTAGTGTATGCCTTGCACTTACTAAAAGTATAAAGTTCGGAATAAATATGTTGCACTTTAAAGGGTAGATCTAGTAGAAGCCACGGTGGAATAAAAAACAGCAGCAGTACTTGCAACATTATTAAAATACAAACTTGAACTCTGTCAGAGAGCGAGTTGATCACTATTGGAACCTGAAATGCGCTCGAGATAAGCAAGAATTTCGTTAGCAAGACAGAGAGACAAAGATTATATGTCAAGTAGCGAACCGGATAAATAATCCTGCAAATTGTATCTGTGGCCTCCAAGACATTTATGAATGTCAGAGATAACAACAAAAGAACAGATAATAGGAGAGAAATGCTCAACTCTCTTTTGGATGCCTTGACGATAGGACTGTTCCAGAATTTAACAATCACTACGAAAGAAAAAAAAAAAGAGAATTACATCAAAAGTGGCAAACCCAAGAATAAACATTCCGCCAACACTGTTGTAGCTTAAGTTTGCCGAGGGCAAAGCTACACACTCTGTCTTAGCCTGATTAGCTGTTCTACCCTTAGGACACTCAACACAACTCGCAGAGCCAGGATAAGGGTTGACTGAGCCGCCAGGACACTGGACGCAGTGCCAACAGCAAGGTGAAGTAGACGACTTTCTCGTTCCTGGCTGGCATTGTTCCGAGCATTCAGATTTTGGTGTTTCACCATTCACAGTCCTCCAGAGAATTTCTTGATAAAAACACATCTGTCACTTTTTTAATAATTATTGGAATGAAGCTATTTTTGAGAAGTTTTTCATAGAAATTTCCATTTGAAAAGATAATGTCACCTTAAATTGTAAGTCGCATGCATTTTCGTGACGGGTTTGTGATCGAGCAAATTAACATTTAGATAAGTATGCTGTGATGGCGGCCGTTTTGACTTCAATTAAATCCTCACATGCTTCCCGTCTTGGTGTTTTACTTGTAGAGCTAGTAAGCGTAATTCTCACTTGTAGCTTTTGGAGCAGATGTTTGGTCGAAGCGAATTTGAACGTTGGATCTGTTTTTTCCTAATAGTCATGTCAAATGAATGACAGCTTTTAAGGAACACTAAAACAGTCTTGATGGGTAATTTCGCAAAATTTTGCATATTCATAATTAATTAAATGAAATAAAAATAAACGGGTTTTTGAAAAGTGGTACAGCTTAAAATTAAAATAATGATAATAATATTAAGAGAGGATGTCGGCATCCATCGAACAAATTTGAAATATTGTGGCAAGTTGCCCAAAATTCGTTTTCTCTCCTACTTTCATATTTTGTAGCCCAATATGTTCTAATATTTGTGGTGTAGTTTTTTTGCGAAAATATATTTTAGTTTTCGAGAAATGACTTTTTCGTTCGACCGCTCAAATATGCAAATTTTCACCGTGAATAATACCCGAGTTGTGTGACCTCATGTAACGAACGTAATAGACCTACGCTATTTCTGTGAACATAATCCTTTGTTTTATCATCTAAACTTAATCCCCTGTCGTTATTGAAGCTGCTAAAGAAATATTTATTTTTTGGTGAATATTTTTGTCCGACATACTTTTCCTATGTCGAAAAGTAGCATCAAAACAAAGACAGTTTTAACAATGACCGTTATGACACAATCTACTGAGCTTCAAGCTTTTAAAAGACCAAAGGATGGTTATAAAGTTGCTGTAAAAATTTCCCTGTGTATTTGTGTTGTTCTATCTTGAGACGAACTCAAAGTCCGGCAAAATTTACTTCATAGCGACTATGAAATGTACATGATGCGCCTACTTGTCGCCATCGTTAATTGGCATAAATCACTACAATTTGTAGAAAAGTCTAACATAACACTCTTACCTTGTTTATTTATGATTTTATTAGCCGTTTCGATTATTATATTACGCCTGGGTATTACTTTTTGACAGGAGCTCAGGTTTTGCGTTGTGTTTTCTCCTCCCTCATTTATATCATAAGCTAGTCACGCAATAGTTGATACCGACACAAGGGAATATTTACCATTTATAAAGATTTTTGTTTACGTTGAATTGAAAACATTAAAATATGTGCTTTCTTCACTAATCGTTGTTTCAGCGGCAGCGAAGCAGTTAAAAGTGGGTTGTTGCTTCAACGCTACTGAAATTTTTAGTATTCAGACAGGCGACTTTTAGGGGCCTTTTACATGATATCCGAATGAGTTTTGTACAAGAACGAGTTCATACCGGTTGCAACATAATAACCAGCGTAAAATTTATTCGAAATGAGTCATTCCTGAGTGAGTTTATTGGGGTTTTCGTTACAGAACGAAACACTCATTCTGGACGACCTGTACAATGTAAATGCGGCACGGCTCTCATATCTGTATGAATCCTCTGTAGGAGCGAGGGAAGCATTGAAAAAGACAGGAAAGGACATAGAGACTTGTTTCTACAGGCTAATTGTTGCCACTCCCAAACGGATAAGACCTGAGCACCTTTTATAATTTTATAGCGGTCGTTTTCGAAATTCCAGGCGCGCACCCCCGCCCTCTTAAAGGGGTCCCCCGAGGGTGCTAATGCTTGCAGCACACTTGACATTTAGCAAGGACAAATTCTGATGTGATTTTGGCAAAGGGAAACATGTTTTGTCAGCGTCTAGTCGCTAGTGCGGAAGGGCCCTTTACCACCGTGTGCATAATTACGCGTCCCCCCAGACGGCGGAAAGCCAACAAAGTGTTCAGACATTACTTCAGGCAACTCCGCCTCTGTCTGAATTTTGGTAGCCTATTCATCAATTCCCAATCGAAACTTAACTCTGACGTCACGCGTAATTTTACTCACGGTGGTAAGTAGCTTACTTACCGAAGCCAGCTTGTAGGAATTTAAGGTGTTATTTCGGATCCCTCAACAGTTAATAATCGTTAAAATTAGAAAATAAGATTGAGTTCGATGTAATAGTCTCCACTTTTGTTAAGTCTTTGACATTAACGTTGATTTGCATCTGAGAATAAGCTGAGAGTTCCAATAGTTCAGAATAGAAACATTTTTACTTATCATAGGCTTTACGAACGACTTGTAATACGAGTAGTTCCTTCGATCTTGTTCAAAAACTGTTTAATGTTATTATTTTAGAAAATCAGACTGAGTTATTTTTGTGACTGGACGCAATAGTCTCCACTATTGTTATGACGTTTCGTACCAATGTTGATTCGCATCAGAAGAAGCAAAGATTTATTGTAACTATTTCAATAGTTCAAATGCAGTGGTTTGTTCACATCTAATTCTTGCGTATACTGTTCGACTATAATGAATGTATAATGAATGCGGTAGAATTGGAACAAAATGGTTGTTGTTGTTTTTTTTTTACCTTTATTGAGGAAATGTTGTGTTGTGATTGAAAAGAACATCGACAAAAAAGCTTGCAAATAGAATTAGTTACCAAATATGATACAAAGGATGCTTAAAAGGAAAGTTTGTTAGGGGGGTCCAAATCTGCGAAGGGGGGTCCATATCCGCTGTGACACCGGCACTCGACAAAACAAGATCAACTTCATTTTCTGCATCTGAAAACTTGCAACTCCGCAAGTGACATGAAATGTCTTTTTAACAATCACACAAGGGAAAGACTTGTTCTTCTCGATAACTTAACCCACAAGTTCCACCAGCGAACGATTTAACTAAATAGCAAATCTCCATGTTAGCATGTAAGATGAGACGCTTGTAAAACAGATCAGTTAGCTAAATCAGTATGTAGCTTGTCAATCAAATTGACCATTGTAACCATACTCTGACTTCAGCCGGCAAAGGAATCATTGATGGATCTAGACATTTTAGTTTTCTGAATGCAGTAATTCCTGAAAGGTTTTTCTAGATGTCATGCAAAGAGGAAAAAAAACCCATCTCTTGGTATTTCGGAGGTTGATTCAAATTGTAGAGATTTATGCCAGTTAACGGCGGCGACAAGTAGGCGCACCATGTACATTTCATAGTCGCGCTCGCCATTCTGTAAAATGCACGCGTCACATTAATTTTGGCTTTAATCACGCGTCACGTTTAATCACGCGTTCCGTTAAAACCCTTTGCCAATTATCACAATTGTGTTGAAATCTGATTATCCTGTTCATAATTAATAATGAGTCATGCTTTGATAATTTTTGCACAATTAACAGTCATCCTCGTAAAGGTAGACTTCCGTTACTACAGCTTGTAATTAAGTTTTGGCAGTTTAGCTAACTCTATTGCGTTTAGGATCAGTTGCGATTAACCCTTTAACTCCCACGATCTCATTAGTAATTCTCCTTACTGTCTGCCATTCAGTTCTTGTGATGTTGGTTTGGAGAATTTGGTATTGGATCAATTCATAGTCCCCTAATTGATATTTACCTTTATTCTCATCACTTTTCTGCTTGATATTGTATTGATATAGTAAGGAGAAAATCTGTCCTTGTCACTCATGGGAGTTAAAGGATTAAAGATCAGAACGTGTATCGAAAGACGTTTCAACTACAGTAAGGATATCACTGATCGAAGTGAAACCTCCATGCAGAAACAAAATTCAGACAAATATCAGCTGAGAGAAATTTTATTTATGCACAACAACGCCATAGCAATGAAACCAGCTCTGTTAAAAAAAAAAGCAAACAAACAAACAAAAAAACATTTTCCATCAATGAAAACTATAAAACTTTTAGACAAAGTTAAGCCTTTTTTCTTGTTTTCGATTTCAAAATACTTTGCCCGGGGCAATTACAAAAGTTAATTATGAAATACCCTCTGTCTAAGCCAAACAGCATTTAGTAAATTCCCCCTTCTATTTCGTAGGCGGAAAAGCATTACTTTATTCTTCCATTAAATGTACACTGGTTGCAAAGCACTCATCAGAGTCTTTACGTTCGGCCGACTTTGGAGTAACACCCAGTCACGGAGTGAAACCGTTGTGTGGGAAGGTGACTGAGGCTCATCATTTTGTGTTGGAGCTGACATCGAGTCACGGAGTAAAAGCTTTTGGTGGGAAGGTGGCTGAGGCTCATCAGTCTTTACGTTCGGCCGACTTTGGAGTAACACCCAGTCACGGATTGAAACCATTGCGTGGGAAGGTGGCTGAGGCTCATCATTTTGTGTTGGAGCTGACATCGAGTTACGGAGTAAAAGCTTTTGGTGGGGA